TTACACTTCGGGAAAATGTAGATCGAAAGGTCGTGGTTTCGCGCCCTAACAGAGCCGGATTTTTTTCTTCAGAAATGACCTTAACTCCCAGGTCGATCTAGTCTTGAGTGGTTACCAGTGCCGTGATTTTTAAAGGCGGCGGACACGGTAGTAGTAGTGGTGGTATCTGGTAGTGAGTAGTTAGTAGTAGTTAGTAGTAGTAGTAGTAGTAGTAGTAGTAGTGTAGTAGTAGAGTAGGTTGAGTAGTAGTTAGGTAGTGTAGTAGTGTGTAGTTGTAGTATCGTTTTAGTAGTAGTAGTTTTAGTCGTAGGTAGTAGTATTAGTAGTAGTTTTAGTAGTATTTTTTTAGTAGTTTAGTAGGAGTAGTAGTAGAGAAGTAGTAGTAGTAGTAGTAGGTAGTAGTAGTAGTAAGTTAGTATTAGTAGGTAGTAGTAGTAGTAGGTAGTAGTAGTAGTAGTAGTAGTAGTTTAGTAGTAGTAGTAGTAGTAGTAGTAGTAGTAGTAGTCAGTAGTAGTAGTAGTCAGCAGGCAGTAGCAGTAGTAGTAGTAGTAGTAGTAGTAGTAGTATAGTAGTAGTAGTAGTAGTAGTATTAGTAGTAGTAGTAGTAGTAGGTAGTATGAGTAGTTGTAGTAGTAGTATGTAGTAGTAGTAGTAGTAGTAGTAGTAGTAGTAGTAGTAGTAGTAGTAGTAGTAGTAGTAGTAGTAGTAGTAGTAGTAGTAGTAGTACATTTTACCCCACTGGGACATCACACAAGCGATAAACAACCGATAACACAATGTGCCACTATGTGGATGTGGATCACCCGTGCAGAGGTCGCAGCAACTGCGTTCAGCCATTAGACCATATTTAGACCATTTTTAGACCGCTATATTGCGGCACCTGGCAAGAGCCCGGGTGGGTCTTCATAATAACGAAAAATTGCATCATACAATGGGATGACTAGAATACAATTGTGTGAAAACATCATGAGTGTTAATGGTTAAATCAATCAATCACATGTCAATCAAACATGAATATCGATGAGATCATGTATGTATTGATAAAACAGAACTACACAAACAGAAACATCATTAACATATTGGTGAAACAGACAATGTTCAAGACATCTATATTCGATATCTATATGGTACTAATAAAACAGATGTATGGTAAAAATGTCAGCTCTGTGGCTAAGTCGATGCGAACGCTTCGCTTCGTAATGCCGGGATGCCATGTTCGATTCCTGCTGCGGGCAATGCGCCTTGGTTTGGTTTCGACAGTAGTATCAGGAAAGCCGACCGTCCAGGAAGCAATGGCAAACTACTGGATGTAACTTGCCTAGAGAAACCACACAACAGCCAGGGGCTGTAAGTGTTGGTTCTGCAACGTCCTGTAAAGGATACGCAACTAACTTATATGGTAAAAAGAGATTACAATGAACAGTATCGATAAGTAAGTTGTTGTCTTCCTTTGTTGTACAATAAAGTAAAGTAACGATTTCTTTTCACGCCTTCAAGGCGCATCGTGCATATGGAAAGAGCACCCATATTTTTTACAGACCAATCAGCACTAGGTAGGTAATGTGGTCAGCATTGCGCCGGCTGTCTTTACTTCCCCGGACATACATCATAGTACCCATTTTAGACTGGGTCGAACTGAGACACCCCATACCATGATAAAAATCCACGCAGCCAGAAGTGGGTTTCGATCGCGGTATGTTGGAATTACGAGCCGCTCTTGCAACGCCTGCCACGGACGCCATTGGTAAAACAATCATGACGTAAACTTTGATAACAATGAACATAATCAGACAGGTACGAGATAAACAATTATTGCCATGACCATATTCAAGTGTGTGTTTTCAAAACATGAGGCAAACAAAGATAACTCCCCCCACCCCCTCCCCCACCCCCAAAGATTCATCAAATGTTTATAAAACAGACACCAGGCAAACACAGATTACAATGTGAATCGTCAAACATGAATTGATTAAAAACAGAAATGAGACAATCAAAGGTTGCTAACAAATATGACAAAGCGTGAATTGCGATAACAGACATGAGGTACAGATTGCAAAGATCATAATCAAACGCGTATTTTTTTAAAAGAAACATGACAGAAAAAAACAAAGATTGTAACGATGATAATAAAACGTATATTTTTAATACAAGCATGCGAAAAGGAAACAAAGATTGCACAGATGATAATCGAACGTGCATTTTGAAAGAAACATGAGATAAAGAAACACAATTTGCAACGATTATAATCAAACGTGTATATTAAAAAGAGACATGAGACAAGAAATAAAGATCGCAACGATCATATTCAAACGTGTATTTTGTAAAAGAGACGTGATTTAATACAATTCAGCAAAATGAGGTAGTAATAAACACCGCGTGGCTCGTCTGTACACTCCACACTTTTAAAACATGTCAGATTACAGCTAATTAATTACATTATATTGCATTATATTTCGAACGTATCCTTTATACGAATTTGCAGAACAGCCACAGCATTTTTTCTTCAGCTTTTCATGATTTCATTAGGTATTTTTACCTTCTATAGTTTGCTATTGCTTTGTGTATGGTCAGCCTTCAATCAATCAAAGGCTGTTTACCTAACGTCGCACTTGTCACGACGGGTGTACAATTTTCTCTTTCTATAGCCAATTCTCCAGCCCTTTGTGCTTTCATAGATAAAGCATCTTCACTGTTTTGTATCTATATTCGCAGAGGTCTACCTCTGTCTCTTTTTCAGGAAACTATATTGTCCATCGCCGCTCTCTCCTAGCCTCCATGACATGACATTTAACACTGGCTTGAGAAAGTTGTAAACACATGCCGTGATTGTCAATGACTCACAGAGTATGCTGAGAAAGCTGGAGACAGGTATGCTTCGTGCAGAGTGGCAAGCATCACTTCAGAGTCCCGGGTAGTTAGTATTCTTTGGATATTCTCTCCAAGTCATGCCGGTGTGTTGGGGAATGAGCAGGCAGATAGAGTTGGTACCAGGTGCAGTTCGAGAGAAGTAAAGGCGACCGGCGTGATGCTGTCATTTAGTCTATTGAAAATATAGGTTTAGCCCTATATTCCAAATACACCTAAAGGCGTGGAAAAGGGGCCTTTACCGTTTTACTCCTTGATCGGCATTCGGTGTATGAAGCGGTCAAAATCCCGCCTCTCTCTCTTGCCATCTATTAAATTTCCTGGTACCCAGGCGGGGCGAGGGATGCATTCTCATTGCGTGGGTGAGTGAAGTTCAACTCCACTTAGGATCCTATACTGAGCAATTAACACCTGCCGACTCAAAGAGCCACTTTTCGGATGAGAATTCCCCCATGTACCATTTCAGAAACCCTGTTCAACCGCAAAGTGACGGTTATAAAGTAATTAGTCCGGGCAGGGTAAGGTTTAGGTGTGTGTGTGGTGTGTATGGGTGGGTGTGTCTGTATGTGTTTGTGTGTGTCTGTTTGTGTGCAGCTGATTGCAGATTCGAACCAAAGACCTTCCAGAGAATAGATGCTGAGGTGTATCCACATTTTCCATATAGAAGCACATCCATTGAATTTATTTAGAATGATCCTAACAAAAATCACGTGCAAATATATGCACACACACGCGCAAACACACACAAACACACACACTGTGTTGAACTATCTTCGAAAATGCACAAATAAGTATATCCACATGCTCAAAAGCGTCTCTGAGCAACTGTTGTCTAACTGCGATTCCTGAAGAATTATCTCCCCATACCTAGAAGCGTCTTTAGCACAGTTAATACAGAAACCAGATGGCAATATTCATTACAATAACGAAATCTTCTGCCAGCCTAAGGACTCATGCTGTAAAAAGTTTACTCTTGTCAATGGCCAAAAAGCAACGATACAAGCCGGAGCGTGCAGTTTGTCGTGGTATCTTTCAGGCGTTTATGGAAATATAAATAAATCACATTCACAGGCAACTGTTCCATGGATGGGTCATCAGCGGAGAAATCGGTTCTATGCACACAAACACAAGAACTCGTACACTTAGACCCTCTGTTCTGTACAAAGACTCGTCATTATTATTAATCAAGAAATGGCCGGTCTATGGATCCAGCCAACATTGTTAATGCCATTAGAGAGATAGGACGGTCCGAGAAATTTGAAAGCAACGTTTACATATCATTGCTAAGAATACAAAAACTGGGAGTAAAAACTAGCACAGCCAAGCGTGATATACACACTGGAGGCACAAGAAGTCTTCGCAACCGGTATTGGACTAGCACTTGTCACAGCGCGGCGCTGATGAATATATTGAAAGGGAAATCTGAGCACCCATGCATGGGTCCGGAGTGCTGTAAAGATAATCCAACTCATAACTTAATCAGCAGATCCGTTACCTAACATCGCTTCCGTCTTGGCACGTCTGAAAGTCTCTTTTTCTCTAGCCAATTTGTCCAGCCCTATGTGCTTTCTTAGCCAGGGCATCTTCAATGTCTTGTATCCATATTCGGGGAGATCTGCCTCTGCCTCGCTTTCTGGAAAATGTACACTGCATCCCCGTTCTCTCTTCCACGATGTTTAACATGGCTACAGTAGGCCAGCTTCCAGGACAGGATGCTGTTTATGAGACAATTCTCTTCGATGCTCAGATCATGTAGGATGTCGATGTTTGTACAAACACTATAACTGGCAAATCTGGACAATCGATTCTGTACAACCACTGGCATTACTCCGTTTATTTATCACCACTGTTAGGACAGGGCAGGACAGGAGGATCGTGGGTTTGAGGATTTAAGGTCACATGTTTAGTTCAGTCGCCACAAACAGTGCAGGTGAGGATTCTTATGTTTACCCTGACATCACAATAATCGCCATCGCTTACCGAGAATCGATCACGGGTCTCCCGCATGAGAGTCCCGCTGCTGTAACCACTCGGTCAGCCGCTAATATAACTAGTAGACACACTGAAAACCCGTAAATCTGAACCATCGAATCTGTATAGCCACACAACGCAAGAGTTTGGTGTCTCAACGCTGGCTACAAACACGTATGCTCGTCCACAACCCGCTCACAAGTCTTACACCGAACACTGCAGCACCAGTGGAATTTGCATTTACAGCGTTCAACAACCTTCACCTGCCTCATCACCGAGCCTCGGCCACAACACATAAGCTCGCAGCCGTCCATGGCTTTGGAAGTCTTGTTACAAGACCTACCGTGGGTACCCAACGAGCCAATCTTCGCGTCTGCCTCGCAGAAATCCGGCGAGGCATCCATGTAGACTAGATCCTGATCTGTGTGGGGTTTGAACTGAGGGTTGAGGGGCACCAGCTCGTTGGTGTTTAGAGGCTTGACCTCTGTGGCGCCGTCGAACTTTTCCTTCAAGATGGTTCCGACTGTGGAAAAGACGGGAAGGGATCTCCAGCAGGTCCTCAACTCGCATGACCCCGAGACTCCATGACACTTGCATTCGACTCTCATGTTGTCCTCAATGGCCTGTACAACAAAAAGAGCACAACAAGTTAATGACTGGATAGTTTATGGGATTGGAAAATAATACATTAATAAAAGAGCACAAATTAATGATCGATATTTTATAACATGGCATCGCGGGTTAATCGCTAGATATTTATAACAGGTCAGAATCACATATTAGTGACGTGCATTGGGCAAAAGCGGCGTCCGTGGCTTAGGCGTTGCGAGTCCGACTCGTAATTCCAAAGTACCGCGATCGAAACCCACTGCTGGCTGTGTGAATGTTCATCATGTTATGGGCTGTCGCAGGTTGACCCAGCCTGAAATGGGTGCCAGGATGTATGTCCTGGGGAAGTAAAGACAGCAGACGTAATGCTGACCACATTACCCACCAAGTACCGATTGGTCTGTAAAAATGTGGGTGCTTTTTCCCTATGCGCCCGATGCGCATAAAGGTGTGTAAAGGGATCTTTACTTTATTAAACCAAAAAAAAAAAAAAAAAAAGGAAGACAACAAATTATGTATCGGATATTATACAACTTGGCACCACATATTAGTGACTGGATATTAAACACGTAGGAACGCAAATTAATGACCTGATATTTTGCAAAATGCGAAAACCATGTTAGTTCAAGAATGTAATGGTGTGAATTCTCGGGAAATCCCAGAGAGTTCCCGATGGGGAGGACAAGGTCAGTTTCAGTGATACAAGAGAAAAACGAGATAAGTGGGTCTCGGGTATCCCGTGGTGAGCGAATAAGGGATACAAGAAAAGCGTGAGACTTGAACGGAAGACGTGAACCGAGAGACGGTAGTAAGACAGTTGAAGTTCGGACCTGGTTGCGAGAGGTCGTATGTGAGAGAACACCTGATGAGAATGGAGAACTTGTGACCACGTATAATTGTTCGAGAGAAGACATGAATGTTTCCTGATTGCCAGTTTCAACATGTACTAATACCAGATACAAGGCTTTAGTATGATATGGATGTGTCTTTAGAGAGATACGAACGGAGCAAAGCAGTGTGCGAGCGAGTTGACCAGGTCATCAGAAATCAGCCATGCTGTCAGTGATATGTTTGATTCAGCGAATAAAGGTTTATAACTAAACATTCGTTTCTGGTGTGTCATAGCAACTAAGTGTTCGCCAATACAGCAATGTGGCGTGTAGAAACAAACCCCTAGCAGAGAACATTGCAAAGAATATCTATTAGGCAGGATTTTTGTTGTTGGAAAGACTAAAACTGAGTTAAATATAAAATATGTAAAACTACACGCCTTTAGGCGTATAGGGCATATAGGGCTAGACCTATATTTTATAGACCAATCGGCACAATATCGGTGATGTGGTCAGCATCACACCGGCCGCCTTTACTTCCCGGGACTGCACCAGGTACCCACTCAAGGCTGGGTCGACCTGGGAGATAAGGTCATTTTGAAAAAAAGTCAGGCTGAAGTATCGACTCTAGCCAGGTATAGTTACCGAACTTCCCACTAGTTATGTATCGACTCTAGCCAGGTATGGTTACCCAACCCCCATTAGTTATGTATCAACTCTAGCCAGGTATGGTTACCGAACCCCCCACTAGTTATGTATCGACCCTAGCAAGGTATGGTTACCGAACCCCCCACTAGCTTTGTATCGACTCTAGCCAGGTATGGTTACCAAACCCCCACTAGTTATGTATCGACTCTAGCCAGGTATGGTTACCCAACCCACACTATTGATGTTTCGGCTCTAGACAGGTATGGTTTTTAAACCCCAAGCACCGACGCAGTCCCGACATGAACATTCCGCTGCCGGTGCACTCAAGCAGGGACACAGACACCCAGTGGCAGATTGACTGCAACTGTTCGCCCACATAAACATGTCGTTGTCTGAGTGTTGGTTGCATCCGAGCAACAATTCTAGCAACAGTTATCTGTCACTCAAAACACTGGAGCTCTTCCAGCATGGGAGCCGGTACAGCCACCACAAGGCAAGGGTGCGGGTTTGCTGTTGATACACAGCGAAGCTTTATTTTCTGTGTAGTTTTCTTGTGGGGTGTGTATGTGTGTGTGTGTGTGTGTGTGTGTGTGCGCGCGTGAGGGCGCGTGTGTGCATGTGCGTGCGTGTATGTGAGCGTGTGAGTGGTGTGGGCCTGCGCGCGGGCGTTTGTGTGTATGCGTGTGTGTGTGTGCGCGCGCGTGTGTGTATCAGTGGTCCCACCGGAACCAGGGGACATGGACCTTTCTGAGCCCCAACCCCCCCCCCTCCCCTAATTCCTCCTAATCCCAAACATTGTGTCAGGGGATGAAGCGGTCTGCAAACTTCGACTGTGTAGCATCGGACTGGACAGTCACAGCAGATGCTGTTCCCAAAGCTAACGGCACACCTCCATAGTTCCCGGGACTGACGGATGCCATTAGTTAGACTAGATTTTCAACCACCTTTAATATAAGGCTAGATCACCACGGACCCCCCCCCCTTTTTTTCCCCCCCCCCCCCCTTCCAACTTTAAAGGAAAGGAAATAATCAAAACACAAAAAGAAAAACAATTCAAGCATCTCTAAGAAGAAAAAGCAGAAATATAGGCGCGTAAAGGGAAGTGTCAAATAACATGACGTCCTTGGCTTTTTTTTGTTGTTGTTGTTGTTGCTTTATACAGTTTAAAATTAGATTTTTTAAAAATATATGTACCCGACACGCGTTGCTGTGGCTCAGTCTGGTTAAATAAAAAATAAAAAAATAAAAGAGAAGGCAAATGTCTGTAGGATTTGTAATTTCACAATGCCTGAAAGGGAAGTAAAAAAAGTAAAGGTCCCTTTTCCATGCTAATCGGATTCGGAATTGTATTCGCTTAAAATGAAATGACCCATATCAGTTGGAACCATAGGGATGCCAGAAATGAGGACAGCTTCACATTTGAAAGGTCCAGGTCTTGATTGTTGCCTCTACAACGTTACTCATTATTTTTTTTTTTTTTTTTTTTTTTTGTTTACTGAAAGCCGCGTGCTGTTGCCAAGCTTTGGCTGGTTGATTTGGCTGTAACAAACGATACAGCTCAATTTAAACGCAAGGTCACGCGACATAATTAAATCAAAATGAAAATAAAACGAAATCTATGAAAATTCAATGTAACAATGCAATCGGAAACACTGAAATGAGTTGTGTGTTATTGCGAAATTGCTCAAAAACTGGCCCACCTGTATACCAGGGAAAGCCTCCAATCAATGGCCTCCTCCTTCTGTGTGACGTAAATACGCAAACAAAGCAAACAGACCCTCCAAAATGCAACATCAAAGTAAATAGAACAAACATCAAGCAAGTTTATTTGTTTTAATACTTGGGTACCCTTATAAAGTCAGATAGAAGATGTATTAAGGAAGTTAAATGTCGAATAGCTCAAGCTAAGGCAGCAATTTACTAAATGAAGAATATTTTATGCAATCTTACTTTGACTTTGTCAATTGAGACGAAAAAGAGCATTCTTGAAAGCTATATAAACCCTATATTGATATACGGATGTGAATCATAGGCAGTTAGTAAATTAGTTAAAACTTTTTTGGAAGCTGCATAGATGTGGTTTTATAAACGGATGATGAGAATACCCCGGACAGATCAAAAGAGTAATGAGGATGTCTTGAAAGAAACTGGTTCACGAAGAGAACTGATTGCCCACACCAAAAAGAGACAGTCTACCTTCTTTGGTCATGTGATGAGAAGAAGAAAATTGGAGCACATCGTGACGCTTGGAAAGTTGGAGGGGAGGAGAGGCAGAGGGAGAACGAGAGAACAGCCACTGAACAGTTTGACATCATGGCGTGGAAGATAATATGTGTCAGAATTGACTGAACGTACACGAGACAGGAGGTTGTGGATAGACACGAGACATGAGGTTGTGGATAGACACGAGACAGGAGGTTGTGGATAGACACGAGACATGAGGTTGTGGATAGACACGAGATAGGAGGTTGTGGATAGACACAAGACAGGAGGTTGTGGAAAGACACGAGACAGGAGGTTGTGGATAGACACGAGACAGGAGGTTGTGGATAGACACAAGACAGGAGGTTGTGGATAGACACAAGACAGGAGGTTGTTGATAGACACGAGACAGGAGGTTGTGGATAGACACGAGACAGGAAGTTGTGGATAGACACGAGACAGGAAGTTGTGGATAGACACGAGACAGGAAGTTGTGGATAGACACAAGACAGGAGGTTGTGGATAGACAACACGAGACAGGAAGTTGTGGATAGACACAAGACAGGAGGTTGTGTATAGACACAAGACATGAGGTTGTGGATAGACACCGAGACATGAGGTTGTGGATAGACACCGAGACAGGAGGTTGTGGATAGACACAAGACAGGAGGTTGTGGATAGACACAAGACAGGAGCTTGTGGATAGACACAAGACAGGAGGTTGTGGATAGACACGAGACAGGAGGTCGTGGATAGACACGAGACAGTAGGTTGTGGATAGACACGAGACATGAGGTTGTGGATAGACCCGAGACAGGAGGTTGTGGATAGACACGAGACAGGAAGTTGTGGATAGACACGAGACAGGAGGTTGTGGATAGGCACGAGACAGGAGGTTGTGGATAGACACTAGACATGAGGTTGTGGATAGACACAAGACATGAGGTTGTGGATAGACACGAGACAGGAGGTTGTGGATAGACACGAGACAGGAGTTTGTGGATAGACACAAGACAGGAAGTTGTGGATAGACACGAGACAGGAGGTTGTGGATAGACACGAGACATGAGTTTGTGGATAGACACGAGACAGGAGTTTGTGGATAGACACGAGACAGGAGGTTGTGGATAGATACGAGACAGGAGGTTGTGGATAGACACGAGACAGGAGGTTGTGGATAGACACGAGACAGGAAGTTGTGAATAGACACGAGACAGGAAGTTGTGGATAGACACGAGACAGGAAGTTGTGGATAGACACGAGACAGGAGGTTGTGGATAGACACGAGACATGAGGTTGTGGATAGACACGAGACATGAGGTTGTGGATAGACA